TTTTATTTTTAATTTTATGATTTATATAATATTTTATTTGTATCATTCATTATAATACAAATAATAATTTTATGATTTACATCAAAAAATCAAAATAAAGATATTTTGTTTGTATTATTAGGTACAAAAAAATTATTAGGTACTAAATTCGCAAAAAACGTAAAGGTTGGGTTGTATTTTAGCCATTAATAAAGAATAGGTACCAAATTCGCAAAAAACGTAAAGGTTGGGTTGTATTTTCGCAACAAATAAAGGATAGGTACCAAAATCACAATTAGCCCATAGTACAGGTACTAAAATAACAATTACCCGGTTACAAACCCTGACGAAATGATTCCGTAACGAAACCGTATGAATGTTCCTAGCTTATAAATGTTCCATTAGTTATAGTTATATTTTCTGAATGTGTTAATATATTCAAATTAATACCCCCATACTCTAAAAACTATTATAATGTATAGAGAAAACTTATTTCTAGCATATAAATGTCCATCAGTTATAAGTTACTAGTTATAAGTTTATCGTTATTCGACTTAACAGTTAGTTAGTTATATTTTCTCGAATGTGTTCACATATTCAAACTAAAACCCCATATTCTAAAACATTAGTACAAACAACAATATGATTTTCCTAGCATAATTATGTAATTTTGTTATAAAAAAATATAGCAGATGATATTAGTTTGCTTATATCTTGGATGGAGCTTAATGCGCATTATAAATATTTTAATGAAATATTACTAATAAATGAAACTAATCATAATATAAATATAGTTTATGCATAATACACATAATTTTATTAATAATTTATATTGACTCTACATATACAACAATTTTTTTATTTAAAATGGACTAACCAATGACAAATACATCGTCGATCATACAATATTGTTTTATAGTTTGTGAGTAATTATTATTATTTTTAATTAAATCGCAAAAGTTAGTAATATAGTGGGGTTTACATTGTTTCTTAAAGCAACTATGTATATACAATTATGATGGACCACAAAGTTAAAAAAATAAATGAGTTTTCATTTCATTCCCTTAAATTGTGGATCATATTGACATTATAAATTTTCCCTTAAAATATCCTTTCTCATGTTCCAAAGTCCAAAGCAACAATAATAACACTATTTGCACACTTGGGGCCGTTCGATGATTATTATTTGTTACTGTAGCAGAGAATAAGATATAGCACGAATATTTGCTAAAGCTATTTAATTATAGTTTTCAATAATCTTTTTATTTACATGCATGAAGCATATCATTACATATTTACATATACATTAAGTATTACCTTTATATAAAATAATTGCGAAATAACTACACAAGATTATTATTTATTATGAAATAAACGTGATTAAAAAAAATCTAGATGGGCATGCAACATAGGAAATAATATATATAGTTCTAGCTTGTTGTCTACATCAATGTTTTAAATAGCGAACTGTACATACAAATAAGTAATTACCAAATATTAGTCATTGGTTTGATATAAAGAGAACCAACAATATTTTGTTGAACCGATAATATTATGTACCGATGGCTATATCGATATGGATCGGACGCTATTTAAAACACTGGCCTAAAGAATGTCTAAAGGTTTTTCATTTATTTAAAGGTCAAATTATTTATCAGGATAGAATGAGATAACATTCCTTAACCAATTTTATTCAATGTTTACTAACAAAGATCATGATTGGGATGAATCTTATGTAATAATTTTATATCACATTTTGAGGGTGGGATATTTTTACCCTAACACAAAAATGACCTTTTTATTAAAAAAAAATCACATATATAATGTCCATTATACTCTTGAATATCTAAATAATTAAAAATCTAGTAAAAACTAACTAATGGGATTAAATTATCATATCACATTCCTTCAAGTAAACGAAAAATCCATGAAAAACCGTGTTATATAAGGGTTTAAACACATGCGTTGATCAAATGTGATAGAATTGATTTTTATGAAACTATAATAAATTTCAAATGTTTTCATACTTTGATATAAAACAACCTGTATACTACTTCCTATTCTTTTTAATAGTGTATTGACACGTGTCCTACAATAAATACAATTTGGAAATGTGTCAATATATTAAGTTATGGATGGCTCCATAAAAAAAACAATCCGATTGCTCCATAGAATTTTTGTTCTTTTTAAATGTCATTTTGACATTATCAACTATTAACAAAATAAATGTCGTTTTGGATATTTTTTACATATTTTTCTATTGTTACCCTAATTTAGCTAATAAATACACTATGTCTCAAAATATTCATATCTATCCTCATTAACGAGAGTCATTATTGACAAAAAAAATATTCTTAATAACTGTACAACTTTTCAAGACGGACACTTATTATAAATTGACGGACACTTATTATGAATTGAAGGAGTATATAATTTGAGACATAAATGAGAAACACAGCCCCTACCCACATATGATAGGGCTAAGAATGGACCCCATACATTAATTAGCTTGTGAGTGCTATTTATGTGGGTGCACATACTTAATGAATGTGCAGCAAATATTGATTTTTTTATGAGTTTACACTTAATTGGTGAGACAAATCGTCACCAATTGTCTATTTCATGTGGACACTTATAACAAGTGATCAGTTGATGATAACTAATACCTTCATTAAAACCCCCAAAAATTTATTATGGTTCTATAAAAATGAATTGGAATTAATATTAACAGTTATGATAGTCAGGCTTTTCATCAGTAGAGCAAAGCGATGAATAAAAAAGTGTAATAGAATAAAATTTTGGTTGAGGTTTCAATATTTTAATTTTATTTTTTAAAGATTCATATTAAATGCACCAAAATTATCAAATCTCAGAAAAATTAAGAATGAACAATAACTCAATTGGACTTGGGCTTCTGTTAGTATTTCAGAAGCCTTGTCAAGGAAGCCCATATACTACTGATTTCTTCCAAGTTTGGGTCCATTAAAAGAGGCCGAAGGGATGGGCTGAGGCCCGTCCACTCTTTTTCATGGTCAATGGATAAGCTCTAACGTACGCGGTTGGCGCACGATAACCAGCACCTTCTCTGATATCCCAATTCGCATCTAGTCCAGTCCGATTTTCTCTATTATGTCAATTTGGCTTTGCCGTTTGCACATTTTTCAGTGAGCTTTCTCAGTTTCAATCAAAATCAATGGTGGGATTAAGCATGGAGGAGATGTCTTTACCAGTCCTTTTCGAGCAGGCTCGGAAAATTCACCAAGCCGCCGCCGATTCTTCCGTCGATCAGGTTAACTTTTGTGTTGATTTCACCGTATTTCTGATTAGAGACTGTGCATATTTTATTTGATTTTAACGGGGTTGTCCTCGTTTGAAATTTGTTGCTTTTGCAGGATACCGTGAGGAAAGCCTGCGAGCTGCTGAACAAATGCGCGGAGATGATCGGAAAACTCGGTTTGTTCTCGGCGAATGAGACGAAGGATGATATCAGCACCACTAAGCTCAAATATCTTCTCGTGAGTGTTTTTTTTTTTCAGTTTCCATATGAATCTGTGTAATGAATCGAATTACAATCCTCTCTTTTTTTTTTTTT